TATACCACCTTTGGCTGGCCCCAGAGTGGGGTGGGAATGGAGTTTTTGCAATATCCTTCTCCCAGGAGTGGGGAGGGAATGGGGATTTTGCAGTATCCTTCCCCTGGAGTGGGGTGGGAATGGAGATATTGCAGTATCCTTCCCCTACCATGCTCACCACACCCACCAAGCCACGCCCACAGAACCGGTAGTAAAAAATTTTGGATTTCACCACTGGTTGGAAGGCACCTTAGAAGTCTTCTAGTCCAACCCCATCCATGGCAGGAGATCCGATACCATTCCAGATTTTCTTTGTGCTCGATGAGAGGGATACACATGATCCTATCACATCTAATCCCTCCCATCAATATATCAGAAAAATCCAGAATATCACGAAGGAGAATTTTCACAGATTGTTGGTTCACAAGAAAGAAGAAGTAGGTAATGTGCTATATCAGTTTATCGGAATCTGGATTTGTTGAATAAGCTACTAGGGCCGTTACCTATCCCATAAACCACAATGGTCAAATTCGCACAGCCTATCAAGTCAAAACTAGGCAATTATGTTATTGTCAGCAAAATTATGTGAATTCCGGTTCTCAGTGATGAAAATCATGAACAGTTGGGAGTTGAGTACAACTTCCCTACAGCACAGCTATAAGGCCAACCTTCTTAGATTTAGAAAACTAGGAAAGATGGAAAAAGGATCGCCAAAATGATCGTCAATGTCCGATGACGGATATGGCACAAGAAGAAGAAGGAGAGATGGGTGATTGTTAAGGACTGGGATAAAAGAACACTTGGAAAATTTAGAATTGCACATCTTTTGTAGTGTACCCAGAAAGTTGCTATCTGATCATATTGTTCTTCCCCAGCTACGGACCCCAAAGAATGCAGCACACACAAAGTCTGTACAAACCTTAGTTTACTAAATTAGATCAGTTTTTTTTCAAACAAAGGCTGTTAATTAACTTTCTTAACAGCCTACAAGAATCCAAAGAATAAATAATCGTAATCTTACTATAGTTGGCAGAAAGCCCAGAAGCAATTTGCAGAGAACTAAGATCAAGACACAAAGGAGAGTGAACTAAGTTGTTCCCTGCAAATTGCTCAGTTGTCGTCCTTCCTTAAATAGGCTAAAGGAGTGGCCAATTAGCCCCAAGCCTTACTCTCGAGGAAACCTCCTCCTGAGGAGCCACTCCTGCTTTTTGGCAGTTCTGCGCGCCTGTGCATCGAGAAGAGGCTCCTCCTCTTTGTCCTCTTCACTTAAGGGAGCTTCTGGAGGTTCTGAAGGCCCTGGCTGAATCCCCGCCTCTGGCACCACATCTTCTCCAGCCTCCTCATTGTCCAACTCGAGTGCCAGCTGCACAGGCTGCTGGCGCAGCACCACACCAGCCTCCTCGCTGTCAGAATCAGCTACTAGCTGCACAGGCCGCTGTCGGACCACAACACATATCCCTCTAAGTCACCAGGGGTTCAGTCTTGAATTGAAAGTAATGTGACTTCAAAGTGATTCAATCTTTCGCTTGATATTGAAACGGGGAGAAACAATTGCCATCTTATCTATGGTTTAATGAAACGAGTCTACCTCAAATTGTAATTTATGAAGCTAGACCAGTGGTTCTCAATCTGTGATCCACGGACCCCTGGGAGGGGCGTGATGTCCACGAAGAGGTGAAGAAATGTTATGATTTAAATCTGGAGTTAAGTCTTCGGCGTCCGTGGCCACAAAAGCTACTGAAAGGGGGTTGCTGCTGAAGAAAAAGGTTGAGAACCACTGAGCTAGATGATTTCAGAAAGTCATTGTGATGAATCACAGGTTTGGGATCCTGTTCACACAACACTGTAGTTAGCATTCAACTGCAACCGAAAATGAAGCAAAGCCGATAAACAATGGTTGAAAACTAATCAAAGAGAAGCAACTTGGAATTGAGGAGAAACTTCTTACAGTGAGGACAATTAACCAGTGGAACAGCTTGCCACCAGAAGTTGTGGGCTCTCCATCACTGGAGGTTTTTGAAAAAGAGTATAGATAGGCACTTAAATGACATGGTATAGGTTCTCCTGCTTGAGCAAGGAGCTGGACTAGAAGACCTCCAAGGTCCCTTCCAGATTCTATTCTATTCTATTCTATTCTATTCTATTCTATTCTATTCTATTCCTACTCCTACTCCTACTCCTACTCCTATTCCATAGATAGTGCTGAACAAGGTATCCATCCATACAACAAGAAGAAAAGAAAAGTAGAACACGAGAACGCAAGTATCAACCTATCTCACTGCAGGAGAAAGTAAGAAAGTAAAAAAAAAAAAAACCTCTTCCAAAGTAAAATCTGAATCTGCCTTCTCAGAGCAAGCAACAGTGAGAACCGATCTTCTTGTGCATAAAGAAAAGATATCAAACAAAAGAGATTTCTAATGCATAAGAAGCAGCTCTACAGCTGCTGAAGATATGTTCCGAATGTTATGCTAGTCTTAATGGGAGCTTTGTTGGCTCGGTTTCAGGTCACAATATTTTTCTTTTCATTATATATTTAGTGTTAAAACATTGCAGTACAGGGAAAATGGGGGGAAAAGTGAATGTTGAAATGCAAAGACAGGACAAGGCAAGAAAGAGAAAGGCAGAGGGAAGGAAAGGAAAGGAAAGGAAAGGAAAGGAAAGGAAAGGAAAGGAAAGGAAAGGAAAGGAAAGGAAAGGAAGGGAAGGGAAGGGAAGGGAAGGAAAGATAAGGAAAGGAAGAGAAGGGAAGGGAAGGGAAGGGAAGGGAAGGGAAGGGAAGGGAAGGGAAGGAAAGGAAAGGAAAGGAAAGGAAAGGAAAGGCAGAGGGAAGGAAAGGAAAGGAAAGGAAAGGAAAGGAAAGGAAAGGAAAGGAAAGGAAAGGAAAGGAAAGGAAAGGAAAGGAAGCAAAGGGAAGGGAAGGGAAGGGAAAGATAAGGAAAGGAAAGGAAGGGAAGGGAAGGGAAGGGAAGGGAAGGGAAGGGAAGGGAAGGGAAGGGAAAGGAAAGGAAAGGAAAGGAAAGGAAAGGAAAGGAAAGGAAAGCAAAGGAAAGGAAAGCAAAGGAAAGCAAAGGAAAGGAAAGGAAAGGGGATCCACTGTTGAAATATTCTTCCAACTTTTTAAAGTGATGTCCACGTATATATTGACAATGGATTCTATACCCCAACCCAACAGGAACATCTCCGAGGGGAGTTCATAGAGGCAAAATGAGGCGAAATGCAAAAGAAAGACAAATTATTAAAATGCAAGAAACTTAAACACATTTCTATTTCTTAAACATATACCTGGAAACTCAAAGAGGTGGGGGAGAGCATCCATCCCTCTCGATTACATTTGCACAGTAACAGCCTAAGCAAAGAAACAACTTTTTTTTTTTTTAGGAAGGTGCCTGAAAGTTATGAAAACAGACACTTCTCAAAGATTAGGAAGACAAAAGACACGGAGGCAGAGGAGACACTCTCTGTAATGAGCAAACTCAGATAATGAGGCAGGGGATTGCATATAAAATGGGCCTCCTGAATACCAAGGGGTTGTCAGAACGCCTGCGGAGGAGAAACTGAACTTGGCAAATGAATAAAATAAATAAAGAGGAAGAGAAAACCTAGGAATCTTCCTGTTTCTTTCTTCCTCACCCCAAAACACCTCGGTGAGCGTTGATTATGCTCACCGACCGCCAAATGCAACAGATTTGGGAGACAAATGAGAAGAGGGAGAAGAAAGAATGGAACAAAAGATGGAAGGATTCCACTACAGGTAGTCCTCGACTTACGACAGTTCATTTAGTGACCATTCAGAGTTACCACGGCACTGGAAAAAGCGACTTACGACCGGTTTTCACACTTATGATCGTTGCAGTATCCCCGCAGATTTGCATTCGGATGCTTGACGACTGGTTCATATTTATGACGGTTGCGGCGTCCCCAGGGTCGCGTGATCTCAGTTTGCGACCTTCCGACAAGTAAAGTCAATGGGGAAGCTGGATTCACTTAACAACGGCGTTGCTCACTTAACAACTGCAGGGATTCGCTTAAGGACCGTGGCAAGACAAGTCGTAGAATGGGGTTAAAGCTCACTTAATGATTTTTTTTTTCACTTAGCGACATAAATGTCGGGCTCCATTGTGGTCGTCAGTCGAGGACTACTTGTACAGATCTTCCTTGTAGGGTTTCTCCAGATAGCTCCATCCTTAATAATGAAGATCTTGTTCGTTTTGTATAAATTGCTCATAGGATTCAAATAAGAATTCAATTTTTAAAAAGGAAGCCCATGAGCAGTGGAGAGAAAGGAAGGCCAGAATAAACAAAGAAATATATGACTAAGGCAGTGGTGAAATGTAAAATTTGTTACTACTGGTTCTGTGGGCGTGGCTTGGTGGTGGTGGGGTAATGTGACTGAATGGGCGTGGCCAACTTTTTTTTTCTTTTTTACTTTTAAAAGCATTTTTTCTACAACCTCTTCGACCAAAGAGGTTGTAAAAAAAAAATCCTTTTAAAAGGCTCTGACGATCCCAGCTGAGCCACGTGATCGTCAGAGGCTTTTTTTTTTTTTGCTTTTAAAAGCATTTTTTCTACAACCTCTTCAAGAGGTTGTAAAAAAAATGCCTTTAAAAGGCTCTGGCGATCCCAGCTGAGTTGCCTGATCGTCAGAGCCTTTTAAAGGCATTTTTTTGGCTGAAGAAAAAAATGCTTTTAAAAGTAAAAAAAACAAAAAAAAGCCTCTGATGATCGCGCAGCTCAGCTGGGCATGGGGGAGGGGCAGGGATTTTTGCTATCGGTTCTCCGAACCAACTGCTGCCATCGCTTCCGGATCGGGCGATCCGGTCTGAACTGGGAGCATTTCACCCCTGGACTAAGGCTTGGAACCAAAAATATTACAAGGTGGGCCAGATGACAAGCAGGATATGTCTTTGCCCCTCCCCCCCCAATGCACGTTGACCAACGTACATCCTTGTGCTTGGGGGAAAAAATATTAAGAGAGACAAATGTTTGCTTTTGTTATGTGTATATATATATAAAAAAATCACCTTCGAGATGAAAATGTTCGTTTTCAAGCGCCTCCCTGAAAATTTCACCAGCTGCCTCCTATACGGGGAAAGAAAAAAAAAAGAGATGTCTGTTAGTTTATTTCATATTAAAAAAAAATAATTATTTTTATTTGGCACTCACATTAATCAAGCACAAAAACAGCACCCGGTTAAAAAGTCAACACTGAGTCTATAAAGCTAATGGCACTCGGCTTCACAACCATCAAAAGTGACAACGGCACTGGAAAAAGTGACTTAGAACCCACTCCTCACACTTACAACTGGCACCGCCTCCTCACAGTCACAGAATTCAGGCACTTGGCAGCTGGAATATATGTACAAACATGGCAGGTGTACTGGGTCACATGACCACCTTCTAGAACCTTCCCAACAAAGTCCGTGAGGGAAACCAGAATAGAATAGCATAGAATAATGAATAGAAATAGAATAAAATAAAATAATGAATAGAATAGAATAGAATAGAATCAGAAATAGAAAAAAATAACGAATAGAATAATGAATAGAAATAGAAATAGAATAAAATAAAATGATGAACAGAATAATGACTAGAATAATGACTAGAAATAGAATAAAATAAAATAATGAATAGAATAGAGTAGAATAATGAATAGAATAGAATAGAATAATGACTAGAAATAGAAATAGCATAGAATAAAATAATGAATAGAATAAAATAAAATGATGAATAGAATAGAATAATGAATAGAATAGCTTTATTGTCACTTTGAATGTACACCAATCAGCATACAATAAAATGAAATTACATTGCATATTACTGCGTGACTCACTGAACAATTGCAGTGACTCGTTTAACAACCGTGGCAGAAAAAGCCATCATAAACGTGGCCGCAACTCACTTAACCACTGGCTCAGCAGTGGAAAGTGTGGTTGTGGGTCCAAGTGTGGTTGTATGTTGACGACTACAACTTACTATCTGGCCCAAATTCATCCAGGTGGTTTCTAAGGTTGGATGGGGATTCAGCCTGGATCTCCACAATCTCAATTCTGAACCCTTAGATCTGCGCTTTGAAAAATTAGCAGCTTTGCCCACACATTTTGTAAATACAATTCCAAAATGGAACCTTAAAACCAGCCCGTTTTAAGACTTTCCTGAGCCTTAAAACTAGTAAAGATGTATTTTTTTTTAAAAAAAGGGTTTTTTAAAATAGATCTTTACTGTACATTTTTAGAAGACCGTGGCCTTTTAAAATATGTAAACAATTCATTTACTCCTTTTAAAACCACTACCGCATTGGTAATGTATGGTAATAATAGGGAGTATGTTAGCATGGTAATTTGTAAAAAAATAAGAGAGCTTCTAGAGGGGAATAAAAATATATTTTTCCCCAATTTCTCTCCTTTTTTAAAAAAAAAAAATTACATGCTCCTCTCAGCCCTCCGAGCATTCGTTTATGTTTACCATTCCCCATTTCTGTACTCGTTAGTTATTTGTTTAACTGAGCTGATAATTATTGACAATTCAGGCTTCGCTTCTTAAATTTCCTCTCCTCGAGGTGGGTATTATAACGAGAACTTCCAAATAGCTGTTTTGTTGATTTCTGCAACAGCATCAATACGCTTATTAATAGCCTATTAACCGAATGTTCTTTTCTAAAACCGACCATGCTAATCTTTGTGCCTTTCAGAGCCACCGCTGGGTAACTGGAGTGCATCAGCTGTCAATTAAAATTTTGCTCTCTGTGGTGCCTGTCTGATTATGCCATGCATCATCTCAGACAGACTGGCATTTCTTTCATAGAACTGTGTGTGTGTGTGCAGACAGACAGAATCATCATCTTCTTCTTCTTCTTCTTCTTCTTCTTCTTCTTCTTCTTCTTCTTCTTCTTCTTCTTCTTCTTCTTCTTCTTCTTCTTCTCCTCCTCCTCCTCCATCTTCTTCTCCTCCTCCTCCTCCTCCTCCTCCTCTTTCCTCATCTCCTCTTCTGCTTCTATTGCTTCTTTTCTCCTTCTCCTCTTCCCCTTCCCCTTCCTCTCCTCCTCTTCTGCCCCTCCCCCACCTCCTCCTCTTTTCTCTTCTCTCCCTCCTTCTCCTCCTCTTTCACTTCTACTGCTTTTCTCCTTCTCCTTCCTCTTCCCCTTCTCCTTCTTTCCTTCTTTCTCCTCCTCCTCTTTTGCTTCTACTGCTTCTTTTCTTCTTCTCCTTCTTCTCCTTCCTCTCCTCCTCCTTCCTCTCCTCCTCCTTCCTCTCCTCCCCATCCCCCACCACCTCCTCCTCCTTCCTTTCCCCTTCTCCCTCTTTCCTTCTTTCTCCTCCTCTTCCTCTTTTGCTTCTACTGCTTCTTTTCTCCTTTTTCTCCTTCCTCTCTTCCCCCTTCCCCACCTCCTCCTCCTTCTTCCTTTTCCCCTTCTCCCTCTTTCCTTCTTTCTCCTCCTCCTCCTCTAGATGTTCAGACTGGATTGCCAGATGTTCAAACTGTTGTTGATGTTATGATGATGATGTTGATTCCAAGAACCTAGGAAGAAATCTTCACTTCTCCAGGCAAAGGGACATCAGTACACCCTTACTATTGCTTTTAAAACAGCCCCAGAGAGAAAACATCACCCTCTTTGCAAAGATAACCCCGAATCAGATTCCAAGGAGAAAATAATCACATAGATTTTCCATGGAAATCAAGGGAAGGGGGCTAAGGGTCACCAAGCTCCCTGTAGAAAGCCAGGTATCAGTTCTGAAAGAGGGGTAAAAAAAAATGATGGTAATTGCCACCGCAGTTCCTCTCTAAGGATGTTGGATTAAAATCTGCCGAATTTTGAGACGGGAAATTAGAAATTGTAATCCAATACCCCTGGAGCAATGTTTGTCAAACTCGACAACTTTTAAGATGTCTGGACTTCAGCTCCCAGAATTCCCCAGCTGCTTGGCTGGGGATTTCTGGGAGTTAAAATCCAACAAATCTGAAACTGGCCAAGGTCGACAAACTCTACAAACCTGGAGAATAATTGGAGAAGGAAAACTCCACCTAACAATAACCAGATCTCCGTTCTAATTTGGAAAAAAGAGTGCAGTGCATTTATTTTGAAGTTAAGAATACATTTATTCCAAATACATTTATTTCACCCTTTACTTGCCTTAAGAGAACAGTAATTGTGAGAGGTCCCTGTTCTCTCTAAACTAGCAACAGGAGGGTACAGCATCTTTCCTTAAAAAGCAGCTTAAACCCAGGGGAACTTTTATTTTAGCAAAAAATGACAGCTAAGGAAAGAAGTGTCATCCGTGTGAAAAAATGAGCACAACATCACCAGACAGAGATATTGTGTGTGTGTGTGTGTGTGTTTTCATAGATTTTCACAGGTACAGGTATGCGAGTCTTGGCATATTCGGGTCTTTTGCCATGTAAGATTGAGAGTATCTTGGTGACGTTTCGACGAGGTCCCACTCGTCATCTTCAGGCTGGTGTCTTTGGCTTCGTGCTTGTGCGAGGAAAGCGTGATCGGAGATGCTGTCTCTCTATAAATACCGGTGGGGAGGTGGGGAGTGTTGGCTTGGTTGTTGTAAGCAGGTGGGTTGGCTGTGTTGTTACATCTTGATTAGTAGATGGAGTTGATGTTTGCAGATTAGTTGGCTGTTTTGTAACATCCTGTGTGGCCGAGGTCCTAGCTGTGTGCTCATTAGCCTTTTGTGTTGTAACGACCTGGGTAATGGGATGCGCTTTGCTTGCACGAGCACGAAGCCGAAGACACCAGCCTGAAGATGACGAGTGGGACCTCGTCGAAACGTCGCCAAGATACTCTCAATCTTACACGGGAAAAGACCCAAATACGCCAAGACTTGCATATATATATATATACACATATATACAGTGGGCGTGCGTATATACATATATGTATCTCTATATATGTGGCGTGGTCTAGAGGTGGAGCTCTCCCCTCATAATGTGGAGGCTGTGAGTTCAATTCTAGGGAGCGGCAGATATTTCTCTCTCCGGGCACAATGAGTTATTGTCTGCTGCCAACTCCCTGTAGGCATCAGGAAGAGCATCTGGCCAGTAAATGCTCATGCTTCCTTCAGTCACCCTGACTCCATCCCAATACAGGGGATTGCAGGCCCATTAAAAGGAATCTGTGTTTCTGTGTGTGTGCGTATTGTGTGTCTACACAACACACATGTATATGTATATACATACATCCATGTCTTCTAACTGAACCCGAAACGAACCAGTTAAGGCAGTGGTGAAATCTGAACCAGTTTGATACCGGTTCGCTGGCTGTGCGCGCATGTGCACTACAAGTCAAAAGGAGGCTTGGGAAGGTAAATAGAACAGCGAGGGGGGGGGAAATCAGCTGTGGCACATGATGTTGGGAACCTATTTTTTAACTTTTTAAAAGCATTTTTTACCACCGGTTCGGGCGAATAAGTAGTAAAAGAATGCTTTAAAAAAGTTTTTAAAAAGGCTCGGATGATCACAGCTGTGCCGCGCGATTGTCCGAGCCTTTTTTTAAACTTTCTTAAAGCATTGTTTTTACTACCTATTTGCCCAAACCGGTAGTAACAAAATGCTTAAAAAGTAAAAAAGAAAAAGTTGGGCTGAGCACCAGAGGTGAGTTTCAACAGGTTCTGACCGGTTCTGGAGAACCGGTAGAGGAAATTTTGAGCAGTTCGGAGAACCGGTAGTAAAAATTCTCACTGGCCCCGCCCCCATCTATTCTCTGCCTCCTGAATCCCAGCTGATCGGGAGGGAATGGAGATTTTACAGTATCCTTCCCCTGCCATACCCACCAAGCCACTGCCCACCAAGCCATGCCCACAGAACCGATAGTAATAAAAATTTGAAACCCACCACTGCTTAGCACCAGAGAGAAATGACTAGAGATGTAGCTGCTCGCTGGGGGGGGAAAGACTTGTGTCTTTTTTTACAACTAAGTGCTCCAGTGAAGAACAGATGGGATGTTCCGATGGGAGGAGCCCCGGGGAACTTGAGAGAAGACCACAACTGTTCTAAGCCTTTTCTTGGCAGCCTTCAAGATCCCGGACGGACCCCACCCTATCCCAGTTCTGTCAGTCCTAATCCAGCCTGCCTCC